CCTCGCTGCACCACCGATGTTCTGCTTAAACTTGGCACTTGGATACTAGCCCTGGAGGGCTGACCAGTGAGTGGCTTCTGGGCCTGCATCCAAACCCAAAGTATTTGTTGATTTTTGTTTTTATAATTGTAGCGCCCATTCGAGTGGCCACACTGACACTACTAGAGAATGAACTTGTGTGTCCATGGATCAGCAATAGCTTCTCCTATCCACCTCTCCCTTAGGAAGGGAAGAGGATAGCAAACCAATGACCTTAACCCAAGGGTTTTTATGTACAGAACTGGACAGTCGCTGAGTTCTAAATATGACACAACCCGCCATCCACTCTAGTATTGATGCCTAGAATATACTTTCCGTGAATAAACCAATGGGCAATATACAGCATTTAACATTGTGTGTGTGTGTGTTTATACTCACACACAAACCAGAGCTTGTCTATGTTAATTTTGAGGCTGGGGAGAAGGGGAATGGAAAGGGGAATGGACAGCATCAGGAGCTACTGGAAAGATAGCCACTAGACCACAACAGGAACAGCCTTTCGTAGCAACCTCTCGCTTGTTTTTCCTGGGGCAGTGCACTTGTTTTGGATGTTTGTGCTTAGGGACTGAGGATGAAAGGTCTTCAAAAGCTACAAAACCTACTGCCTGCTCAGCAGGCAAGGGAAACTGTGCTCGATTGCTCCCAACACTAGATGCACTGAAGCCCTGTGTGCATGGTAGCGTACAGCTACTTTTTTGGAAGAGGGGTTGTTGGGGAATCTGTTTTGCAAAACAGGTATCAGCCTGGTCCCTGGGGTGGCAAGGGCAGGAGAAATTACTCTGAACTGTGTTAATTCAGAAGCCAGCTAGAGACCCATCTATTGGTGAGATCACGGGACTGAAACACTGGCATTGTTTTAAATAATTGTGGCTCTCCTTTGTTCCAATGCATTCTCCACACATTTCCTTTATTTAATCTAGTCTGGATTTATGGAATACCTTGCTGTAGCTCTAGGCACTTTGTGATCAATAAAGCATTCAAAAAGGAAGTCCACACATCGCACTTAGTAGATCCCGCAATGTACCATCATTTCACTGCATAATTGTTCACGGCTTAGCGCAGCAGAGTCCTGGACATGCCCATGGTGTCCAGATGCTGTGATAATACAAAAAATAATACATTGTAACAACTCTGCCCATAATCATCCGTGTCTGAAACGACCACTTTGTATTTCTCAAACCATCCCTTTCCCAAATGCTTGTGATATACAGCGAAACCTTTGTTATCTGGCACTCTGTTAACCAGCATTGCCCCCCAGCCACAATACTGTCACATCTTCAGGCGCACAGGCCTGGCTTGGTTTACCATGATTGGGTTAACAATTTTTTATTTAAGAAGTGCTAATCATCTTTATCTCAAAATAGAAATATGAGACTGTGGTGTAGTGTTAGTACCTTGTTGGTTACTATGCTTGGGCTGTCAGGGACCCCCACTGGCGGCTGTCTGTAAGCACCGCCCAGCAGAGGGTATCCTGCCACTCCCAGGATGGTAGCAAAACCGGTTATACAAGTTAAGGGAAGAGGGGGACAAAGGAGTTGCAGGCAGGGTAGAGGGTCAGTTGCTGTCTGGGAAGCATGGAGAGAACAGGCTAAGCTGGGGGGCTAGGGGTGATGGACCCTAACCCTAGGGGCCTGAGCCATCCTGGCCCTGCCCCTGGTAGCCACATCATGTATGTGCGGGGCTGTATTCTGGAAAATCAATACACCCCTCTCTGTTTTACTGGCTGGTGGAGACTGTTCTGGCTGCTACAGGGGTGCAGGATCGGGGAAACCCCAACTTGCCGGCACAGAGACCAACTGCCTCACGCTACAGAAATACCAATATTAAAAACTTTTACTATTTTTGTCCATTTTTTTTCTAGGTTGATGGGACCCTCAGATAACCGGAATTTTTAGCTAACCAGAACGCCCTAATCCCCGGGCGAGCCGGATAACACAGGCTTCACTGTATGTGGAGATTTACAGTTGGTCCAAAAGGTTAATAAATCCAGAGTCTCTTCTTAAGATCCAACCATCACCTCTCTTCCTCAAGACATCCATGCAAAGGAGTATGAAATGAAGATGGTTTAGTTTGGGGGTTTATGTTTTTGGGATGGATGGGAAAAATAGGTAGGGATGTCATGGAGTAGTCAACTAGTTGCATCCCCACCTCCTTGCTGCCTCTGTATCAAAGGCAGCAAGGGGGGAGTAAGCAGGAGCCTGTGATGTCTCTCCTCAGTACCACCTGCCCCCCTCATTGCTGCCTCTATCAGAGCAGCAAGGGGGAGAGGGACTGCTATTGTGAAGCAGGCGGCCCGGCTCAGTCCTGGCTTGCCAAACCCTATTGTAAACTCTGCAATTTAAAACATGGTAGGAGCCGGGGAGCAGGCTGCTCAGCTCCTATTGCCTTTTAAATTGCAGAGCCACAGAGGGGTTTGGTCCCAGACCCAGCACGAGCTGAGACTGAGCCGGCTGCCTACTGACTAACAAGTAGCGGATACAAATTCTATCGATTACTCAATTAGTTAAATACCTGCTTCTTCACATCCTTAATAACAGGGTCACTCACCTGATTATTGTCCCACAAATTTTTCTGAACATTTTCCTATTTCTGTTACCTAAATCATTTCACCCAACTTTGAGACTCGATAATCAAAAAGGCAACCTGAAGTAAAAATCCAGCTGCAGGAGTTTGCAGCAATTAAAGCTCTCTCCAATAAATACAGCCAAGGCAATCGTTTTAAGGGATAGCACTGCAACATAAAGCAGCCCCAAACCATACTCATGAGTGGAAACCCATGCGCTATCTATCCTGCACCGCAGCGCCTTCTAGTGGTGAAAGAAGCACAGTGCAGTTCTTTCAAATGACAGGAACAACCAGAATCGTGACTGCACGCTGCAGTGCACAGAGATACTCCACTGCCTCACAGAGAGTTTCATTATAATTACGTATTCTGCTCCATTCTTAAATTCCACATGCCACAGATTCCACAGGTCTGACACAAGCAGTAATGAAATGTAAAATTTGCTCCCAAAATCAGCGGAATACTGCAGAGAGGTTGTGCGTCTTGTTTCCTGTGATGATCTCAGATAACTTATAAAATGCAACAGGAATGCGAACTATTAATCTCAGTTGCTTTTCAACGAAAGTATTTTCAATTTCCACAAAGTCACGCGGACTGGGATATTTATTGCTAAAAAGGCATAAAGGAAACTGAACTCACGGTGAGACTGATGACACATGGCTTCGATACAAGGATGTCACCATCAGTAGAAAAATTTAATTAAATCTGGTATGTGGAGACATCCTGTCTGAACTACTTGGTTTCCTCCACACTTATTCCTGTTTATCGCTACACCATTGTGCAATAGCCTCTCCCTCACTAACTGCATTAAGAGACTTTGGTATCAATGTACTACAAGCCCTCGAGGGCTTTAAAGAGGCAGGAGTTGGTTGCTGGCTGATATTCAGCCCGAGGGCCATCTCGACAATACCATTTGCTAAATATCTTTCCTCTTGTTTTCCTTGTATAAGTGTAAGCTTCTGGGTTGGAACCTTATTTAATTATTTCCCATCCATGTTGATATAACCCCTAACATGCCTGCTCTCAAATATCTCCAGTGATGAGGATTCTACAGCATCCTTAGGCAAATAAAGTAATACAGAATCACAGAACTGGAAGGAACCTTGAGAGGTCATCATGTACAGTTCCCTGCCCTTCCGGCACAACCAAGCACCATCTTGACCATCCTAATTGTAAGGTGAGGGCAAATTTAAATGTACAGTAAAATATGTCCACATGTTAGGAAGTCGGGGAGAATATATTCCAACACAAGACTGTCTTCAGATCCATCAAAATCCTCACAGTTCAACTTCCCATTCTAATTATTCAGCCAGGTAAGTAAGAAAAGTTTTTGAATCATCACTAAAAAACAAAATGACCCCCTTTCCAGTCTGAGCTTACGAGGGAAAGACAGAGCAGCAGTTAAAACCACTAGAGGTGAATTCAGATCTGAGCACAGCACAAATACCTGCAATTCCGCATTTTAACACATCAAAAGTCAAACAACATATGCACAGATCAGATGTTTCTAACTAATGTTGCTTCTAATTTGTCAAAAGTGCTTTCCCAATTGTGGGCAAAGTCCACAGTAAGTATGAAGTTTCAAAAATGGCAGGTCTGAGTAATCCAAATGAGAAAAAAAAGGCTCTCAAATTTCTCAGAAAATCACATATTTTTCATTTTTTAGTATTTTCAAAATGGGCAAAGGGAATTTTTCCAAACTTTCCACCCAAAATCCACCTTTAGGCTAAGCAAAAGCAAGTCAAAACTACCAAAAGGGTAATTCCACCCTCTCCCCTTTGAAAAAAATTCTAAGCAACTGAGTTTCATAAGTATTTGTCATTAATACATAGACTCTACATCCAGAAAGGGGCATTGTGATCTTGACTTCTCGTATAGCACAGGCTGCAGAACTTCCCCAAAATATTTCCTAGAGCTCACGATCTTTTAGAAAAACACCCAGTCTTTATTTAAAATTTGTCAGTGATGATGAATCCATCGCAACACTTGGTAAGTTGGCCCATGATGAGCTGCTCTCACCAATACAAATCTCAGAGGGGGTCACTGTTAGTCTGTATCTGCAAAAACAAGAAGAAGTCTTATGGCATCGCAGAGACTTAGGTGCTACAGGGCTCCTTGTTTTTATCAATAAAATATATGCCTTATTTCCCATCTGAATTGGTTTAGTTTCAAACTCCAGCCATTATATTATGTTATGCAATTTAACAACCGAAAACACAAGAGTGACAAAAATTATCAAAGGATTGTTGCAAAAATACCAGAGTATTTAAAATCAAATACAGTAGCATAATGACTTCTATTTGCTTCTATATATTCCACATAGATTCAGTGCCCTTCTCTTCGAGACGCAGTGAAAAACAAAAAGCCAGGTACTCTACACTTAGGATGTACAAGCTGGTTCATTTTTATTTACAGTTTATTTTAGAATCTCCACTGCTGTTTTAAAATTGATACAATTCCTTAAATGAACAAAACAATAATACCCTCAGAGAGGAAAAATGTCGAAGTGTTTCCTTTTCCAACTTGATAGAATTTAAAATCAGTTTGTATGCTCACTTTGGAAGACCAGGAATGATCCTTTCACTCTCCCCACTACACTTCTGAAAACATAAACATGAAACACAACGGATGTGCAAAGGCCTCAGAAGAAGCCAAATCCTCTTTGGAAGACCGTTCAGAGCATCATTCAGTATTTAGAGCAATAAAGGAAACAGGCCACTGAGGAGAGCCGGTGAAGGCATGCGTGAATGGATGCATGCACAAGATGCATTTAGTCTGTATTATCAGTGAAGTGCCATAAAACTATTGGAATTTAAAAAAGGCTTTCCCCACTTGACACTTCTCAAATCCCTGGCAGTAACAGCTCTGGTCAGTGGTATTCCTATAAAAGGTGATTCAAAATGGACACATGGCCTGACACACTTATTCAGCACGTGCATTGCAACAGCAAGACCGCTGCTGGGAATTTTCCAGGATTGAGTAAATATTTGAGAGGAGGCAATTACTGAAACACGCCTCCAGGCTATCAAAGTTCAACCTAAAAGGACCAAAGTGCAGAAGAATCTGCTGATTCAAACAGATAAGAAATGAAGACCATTTCATTATAATTCTCAGGACATTACGTCTTTCCTCTTTTGCAGAAAGAGAAACGAGAAGAGGTCTTTTGGGAGTGATGAGTTTTTCCAAGGAGTGGAATGATGCGATGATGGGTCTGTAAATGAACGTGCACCTTGCTTCTTTTTCCACTCTCCTTTTCTGCTGGCTCTTTAACCACTGCTGACGTGACGTACTTGCCCTTTGTCAGGGAGGTTATGGCAGGAAAAAAACTTGGGCTAAATGCTTCCTCTTGGTATCAGATTGGCATTCTGGGCACTTTTTAGCAATCTGGGGAGAGAGATGAACAAATTACATATTACACACATTTCATTTCCTGTCAAATGTCGGCACATCCAAGCCCAGAATGGGGAAATGACCTATTTGAGATGCCAGGCAACCAGTGATGTTTATGGCCCTGACCAATCTGTGGTGGCAGGACAAGATATTAGCTGACTGTGGCTATTTCTTCACCATGAAAAAAGTGGGGTTTTAGGAGTGGAAGTTAATGCATGTTAATTACCTCACTGTAAAAAACACCTTTTTGGGGGCATTGAAGACAAAGTCCTCTGCTGTGAAGGTTATAATCCTGTGTTAAAATCCTCTGCTGTGAAGGTTATAGCCGTTTGGTCACACTGCTCCTAACATGAAACAGTTCTAGCCTTTATGATCTTGATCTCCTGAGATTCTTTATTATGTCCATAGTTAACAGAGCTCCATCTTTCTGTTCAAAGATGAAGCAGCGTAGAATCAAATTCCACACTTCCTCTTAAGATCTCTGGGGTGAGGGCTATGGGCCAAGAAAAAAAAATGCTTTAAAGATTTTAAAAGTGAGATTGTCATAAGTAAATTTAATCCTTGTGCAAGCCACAAGGAGATTGACCCGGAGATTGCTACATACTCAAAGGGCAGCACGAGCAGGAGCTGTTTGAGGTCTCCCAGTACAGAAGAGTCAGTCCTCATGAAAGAAGCTAGGCTGCAGAGTGGTTTATATGCACTAGTCTTTTGATTCTGGAAACACGGGTGTAAAGGCAACCAGTGGCTAGAAGCTGGGCTATCTCCATCAAATCCCCAGGAGACGACCCCTTTGAAAGAATGCTTTAATAGCCTCACATGGAAGGTGTTTTATATGTACAAAGTAATATAGTCTGGCCATATTCCAGACCCACTGCACAAGGTAAAACAATGGATAGTTTCTGCTCAGAAATACACACAAATGCTAAAAACCAGGACCAAGGCAAGCTGCAAGAGGTGTGTGGAAAAAACTGCACGGCATCTACCTGTTCATTTTTTACCAGGCTCTACCCAGTGCTTTAAAGACCATCAATTTCACAATACTTTTAAAGACAAATAAAGGCTAGTCAAATAACTAGGGTACTAGCTTGCAATTCAGAAGACCTAGGTTTAAGGCCTGGATCTACCATGTGTGTTTTTAATAGATAGCAGGTTTAAAACAAAAGAAAGTACTTCCTCATGCAATGCACAGTCAACCTGTGGAACTCCTTGCCAGAGGATGTTGTGAAGGCCAGGACTTTAACAGAGTTCAAAAAAGTACTAGATAATTTCATGGAGAATAGGTCCATCAATGGCTATTAGATAAGATGGGGGTAAAAATGGTGTCAGAAGCTGGGAATAGGTGACAGGAGGGCATTAACTGGTTGATTCTCTGTAATGTTCATTCCCTCTGGGGGCACCTGGGATTGACCACTGTCGGCAGGCAAGATACTGGGCTAGATGGACCTTTGGTCTGACCCAGTGTGGCTGTTCTTATGTAAAGCCCTGCATCATGTGCACGATGCTCAGCTTGCCAAGTGGGTCTTGAAAGAATTAGCTGCTTTTCCTGGTGCACACATTATGGACTGGACAACCTCCTGTGCTGAAAGTTCCCATGATTTACCATCAGTCTTCCCATCCCTTTAAGTTGTTTTACCATAACAATGGCTGGGAAAGGACTGAAGATTAGAGTAAGAAGTCGCCCTATGTTGTGCGAGGGTTTGTTAGTCACTTCCTCATCAAATGCAGTAAGCTTACACTGATTATTTAGAATGAACCAATTCATGAGTAACCCTTAGTAAAGAAACAACGTTTAGTCTACGCATCACCAGTTCGAATCCAGGCCAGGTCAATACTGATCAGATGTTGTTATTCTCTGGTGGTGTTTTGGGGGCCCAAAGGAAATAAGTGGGTAGCTACTGTTCATTTCCTGCTGGTGAGGCATCTACTACAAAAACTAAACCACCGCTGGGAATGATGTTGGATGAAGGATGAAGAATGAAGAAGAATGAATGCTGAATTACTGAGAAGCCGCTTCGCTGCCTCCATGCTTTAGAGAGAGAGAAGGGAAAATTTGGTTCTTCTTTCAGACCTTTCGTGTCCCACGATTTTAGCACTCAATTTCTCCCTTTTTCCTAGATGATTGGATGCAGAACACCTTTCATCCTGTCTCTTGGGTCACAGAACCTAGCTCACCCGAGGCCTTTCCAAGAATGACAGCTTCCAACATGCAAGATACCCAACTTATCAACCAAATTATACCAGAATCATGCCACAAAGGAAACAAACATGTTTGTTCCAGAGCTGCCAATGTCTGGCGATAGGCCAGAAGACACTGCGTCTGAGAGTGTGCAGCAGCATGAGAGGTGGCTTTGGCTAGCCATCCCAGTCCAAGCCCATCTGCCCTGGATCTACACTCAAAGGAGTAGCCCAAACTGCTTCCCAGGCTGCAACACCCACACTGCTGCTTTTAGCTAGCCGGCACAAATCTGCCACACTCCCATCTGCAGAGTATCCCTGGCCACAGGTTCCCGAAGAGAGGAAATGTGGGTTTTCAAAAACCAGTTCATCCTGTAAGATAAGTGGCTAGTATACATGGGGTAGCATAGCCAGATCCTAGTCTGAGTGGAAGAATTACATTTACTCCATGAGCCAGGTCAAGAAACCCAGACATATGCTGTGTGCATTCCAAGGAACTAAAAGGAGTAGGTCTTCAATGAAAAAGAGGTATGCTCCTAATTTGAGTCAATTAATCCAGATTAGCTAACTTGGATTATGGTGGCCATGAAGACACAGCAACTCCACTTTTAACTTGAATTAGCATGAGTTAAAGCCCATTGGGGAGCCTGTGGTTGAACTTAAACCACTGAGTTAAAAAACAAGTTGCTACATCTTCCCTGCTATCTCAACTGGAGTTACCTAATGCAAAGTAGTAATCAGACACTTGTTTTCCTCTCTCAGAGAATACATACCTCCTGGGAACAGAAGTGCAGCTAGCACTACATCCATGACAGATAGGTTATGACTACTCTCCCTACAACAAAGCCATTTCACCTCCATAGGCCGCTGAAGACTCTGGCAGAAGGATGGAAGGTACATCTGCTTGTGAGCTAAGAAAAACTAAACTAATCTTTGCAATTAAGGTGTTGTTCAGTGCTCAGAACCCTACCTCCTCCTCCAGATGAAAAATGCAGTACGGTGGAGTATAGTGGCTCAATAATCACCCCACCTCCAAAACCCCACCTCCGTCTCACATAATAGTAATTAGAAAAGTTTGTGAGTGAAAAATCATAGGGAATAAATCCTTAAAGATTCAAAGGAAGGATTCATAAATGTCTGGAGCTCACAGGGAACAAACCTGTAAACTTATCAGCTCTTAGGAATCTATACCAGCAAGATGCTGTCTTCAACAGCGAGAGGCCTTACGAGCAAGTTGTCCAGGAAGAGGCAGACAGGTATTCCTGTTTCTTGGACAGCTGCCCCTCAGACCTCAGTAAAGATCCACAGCCAAGTCAACAAACTGAAAGGAAGGGACCTGTATTCAAAGTGCCTCTTGTTGTGGCAGAAATAAAACACCTGTAATGACACACTTGAATGGGGAAGTGGAGAGTCTCCTGTTTCTGCACTATCCAGTGATGCAAAGCTTCTATGATAGACTTTAAGGCCTCCATACTGAAGTTTTAACTTTTGGATGAATAAGTTGAATGATTTGAGATCCAAGATGGCTTGCATGGCCACATCCTATTTTGAAACAAAAAGAAACAATCAAAAACACTCTGTGAGACTGCTTATTTGATGCGACTGGTTCTACAGGCCTAATCTGCAGCAGTCTCAAAATGGCTTAATGGCCTTCTTGTAGTTCCTGAATTCTTTAATGTTGGGAATATCATGTACTCCAGGGGAAAAATTCTATTGAGCAGCTGTTCTGAATCGATTCTAGAACCCAGTTGTCCAAAGATGTCTTTATTAAGACATTTGCACACCTCTGCAGCCTTGCTGGAATGGTTTTCCCTGCACCATGCTGTGCATGGGTGCTATGGCAGTTTGGTTTAATCTTGATTTTCCACACTTGGTGAATGTATCCCAGTGTATTCTTCCTGCCAAACAGTCCCTATGAAACTTAGAAGCCTGGTAGGTACAGAAGGACTGCCAATTTCTGAGTGCCTGCTCATATTCCCTTCTGTGCTGCTTTGTAGGTGAGAGGGGAACAATCTCTCTTTTTTCTTTGCTGCCTTTCTAACCATCTTGTCATCTCTAATTAACCCCTTATCCTCAGCCCCAAGGGCATGGATGCTGTCCAGCTTTTTCATCCTCTCATCTGCCTTTCATGGGCAGTGCCATAGATCCTGCTGGACTACTGTACTCAAGTCACTGAGCGAGCTGCACTGCACAGGAAAGCATCTGTCGTGAAGGATGCTACCAAAGAGATGCTTTGCATCAATGCTTTTGTTTTCTTCTCTATGGGGAAGGCAGCCAGGATAACACTCAAGTAGCAGGATGGAGCAATGATGGCAGAAAAGTTGCCTTAGAGAAGCAGATTGCCCTTTGTATCTCCCTGGCAGGAGAGAAAGCTGGGGGAGGCTTTATGTCTCAGCAAGGACAAAAGATTAGGTCTGCTTTCAGTCACTGCAGAGTGGAGATGATGGAGTCAGAATGGCAAGGCCCTGTGGAAACATGAACTGTGTGTGTTACTGGTAAGCAGAGGACTTCCGACTCCAGGGCTGTCCATCTGGTTCCATAAACCAGCACAAAACGAATGAAAATGAGTTATTTCAGAAAAATAACTGAAACTAGTAAGCAAAGCCAACCTTTAAGAACTGTTCCCAGCATGTTTTGCAGCAAGTGAAGTCACATAACTGGCATTTAAAAGGCACAGCATCCTCAGATTTGCATTTAGAGCACTGGAATCTTCCTAAAATAGCAATTGAGAAAGAAGGTACAACGGTGGGGAAGACACAGGAGGGGGAAAAAAAAAGACACTAAATTCCAGTAACTCTTTGTTTCCGAAGTTCTTATAATACATTCATGTTTCCAGTGCATTTTGTAGAAAGCAGTGGCTGAAGGTGCATTCGTGCAATGTGTTTTATAAGGCCTCTTTATCGTAAATGTGCAATTCCTGGCCCCATCACAGAGCTTCTTTTGTGACCTGGCTCAATTTTGTTGTCTCTTAGTTCCCCATCGATAAAGCGGGGTTAATCATAAAATACTAGAACCGGAAGGGACCTCGAGAGATCATCAAGTCTAGTCCTCTGCCCTCACAACAGGACCAATCACCATCTTTCATCCTCGACAGCTAAGTCTGCCTAACCTGCTCTTAAATATCTCCACAGAGATGGAGATTCTACAACATCCCCAGGCAATTTATTCCAGTGTTTAACCACCGTGAGAGTTAGGAAGTTTTTCCTAATGTCCAACCTAAACCTCCCTTGCTGCAGTTTAAGCCCATCTCTTCTTGCCCTATCATCAGAGGAAAAGGAGAACAATTTCCCCCGTTCCTCCCTGAGACACCCTTTTAGGTATCTGAAAGGTATCATGTCCCCTCTCAGGGTTCTGTTTCCCAAACTAAACAAGCCCAATTCCTTCAGCCTTGACTCATGTTCTCTAGACCTTTAATCATTTTTGCTGCTCTTCTCAGGAGCTTCTCCAATTTCTACATGTCTTTCTTAAAATGCGGTGCCCAGAACTGGACACAATACTCCAATTGAGGCCTAATCAGTGCACAGTAGAGTGGAAGAATGACTTCTCGTGTCTTGCTCACAACACTCCTGTTAATGCCTCCCAGAATTGTCTTTGCTTTTTTGATACTATTGACTTCACAGAGGAGTTATGAGGATAACTGCATTTGTGTTCAGGAGACATTCATCGTATGCTCGAGGCCACCAAAGTACTTAAGACAGAATGGACATGGTTGGATAAGAAAACCCAAACTGGATTTCATTCTATCTAGGCTTTTATACCATACTCATCATTGAGGTATCTCAGTGTTAAATACACATTAATAACTGTAGTAATAAAAGATGGATTCATAGTGCTGTTTGAAGAATAATATAGATTTTTTTTTACCCATTTTACCCTTCTTTAGCGCTAGAAGACAAAATCCCCACCGAACACATCTACACCTACCACAATCTGGCTCCATATTGAGAGGCAAGACAGGTGAACTCTGTGGGTTGGTAGGTGCTCTTATGCTCCTGGATCCTGTCAATGTCTTTTGCAAGCCAGGTTTGCTGTTCTGATTACTACAGAAGGAGAAAATCTTGCTCTGGGTTTTTCTTCGCATAGCACTCTTGAATGTGGCTGTACATGAATACATAGCATATAGCATATAACATGGTGCAATGTGTAATACTAGACACGCAGCTCTTTGTGAAATTTGACCAGCTGACATTTCCAGGTTTTCATTTAGAAGTCTGCCAGAAAAAACTTTTTTTTTTTAAAATCACATTGTTCTGTAACATACATTTCTCATTCTTATTAGCCTACACAAAATTATCACTGAAAAAAGTGAAGAACCTTCTAAGGGAACCGACTTCTAATGTTGTAGACTCGATCTAGAGAAAGTGGGCTTTGACCCTATCCTGCTCCCCTCACATGGAAAGATCTTGTCTTAATATCACCATGAGATTCAAAGAATTTAATAGAATCATAGAACACTAGAACTGGAATAGACCTCCAGAAGTCATCAAGTCCAGTACTCTGCCCTCACAGCAGGACCAAGCACCATCTAGATCATCCCTGATAGGTGTCTATCCAACCTGCTCTTAAATATCTCCAGTGATGGAAATTCCACCTTCCCCAGGCAATTTATTCCAGTGGTTAATCACCCTGACAGCGAGGAAGTTTTCCCTACTGACCAAACTTAACCTCCCTTGCTGCAATTTAAGCCCATTGCTTCTTGTCCTGTCCTCAGAGGCCAAGGAGAACAATGTTTCTCTCTCCTCCCTGTAACACCCTTTAGGTACTTACAGATGATTGTCTCATTATTTCCTTGTGTTAATCCACTTGTCTTTCTGACCCACCCGTTCTCTCGTGTCTGACACTTGTCTTGCAAGCTCTTCAGGGCAAGGACTGTTATTGTGTTTTGTGTATGTACAGAACCTAGTATACTAGGATCCAAATCCATGTCTGGAGTGCACCTGAGTGCTACCATAATAATAATTAATACTATTGAAATGCCAGGAAAGTGTCCATTCCAAACCTGGTGCGTGGCTGACAGTTTTGTCCTGAGTTTCACTCTCTTCTTCTTTGGAACATGAATTTTCCAAATTCAGAGAGCTCGTGGCTTCCTGCACTTCCTCTTGCAATTTCTTCTCCACACTGCAGCTCATTCCAGTCAGTTCTTTACACATTCGCCTGAACTGCTCTTTGTGATGAGGACGCACAAACATGCAGAGCCCTGCCCAAAATGTGTTACAAGTCACACATACATGAAATGACTCAGCTTAGCGTACATTGTTCATCGCTTTTTGGGACAGGAGAGCGCTCTATGGAGACAGAGTCCCGGTAGCCATTGATTCCACTCTCTCCCCAGTAGGGATGTGAAGGATTAGTTGACTATCCGATAAGCAAATGTGGAAGAGCAGACACGCTCTTTCGGAAGCTCCAACTATTCCGAAATTTGGCCCAGTGTAGATGGGCCAAATTTCGGAAAAGCCTTTTCCGACAAAACTGTCAGAAAAAGCGATTTTTTCCGAAAAAAAAAGCAGCAGTCTAGACGTAGCCTGAGAGTCTATGCCAGTGACAGTCCATGGCTCACAGGCCACATGTGGCTCTTTCAAGGTTAGCCTGTGGCTCTTTGAGGCTCTCCCCCAGACCATCATGAGCAGCAGACTTGCAGTGATCCTGGAGGGAGGGAGTCCTTGCTCCACCCTCTCCATCCAGATGTATGGTGAATCAGCGGACTAGAGGAACCAGGCTAGTTGAGCTTAGAGACAGAGCAAGGTCTGGGAAGGAGACCTTTTCTCCTTATTGGCTTGGCACAAGGGGTGAGATTACAAGGCAGGGGTGGGAAACCTTTTTTGGGTTTGGTTTTCTGACCCACAGAAAAATCAAGTCAGGGGGCTGGGGGTGTAGGGTCTGGATTGAAGGCAGGGTGCAGGAGTGGGCTAGGGAGGAGGGTTTGGGGCCTGGGCAGGAGGTGTGCAGGATGGGGTAGGAGATGGGGACACCTACCTGGCAGAGCTCACCAGGAAGGGTACAGATGTCTGTATGCTACAGGGAAGTGCACCTTGCAGTCACCACCCCTCCATTCCCAATGGCTGTGGTTCCCGGCCAATCAGAAAGACGGGGGCAGTTCCTGGTGCCTGTAGTGCTCAGAGCCACTTCCTCTCCACCCCAGGCAGACCCTGGCCCGGGGCTTGCCTTGATCAGGCCCATGAGGCGTGGGGCTCCCCTCCCCCTGCCATATGTGGTTCCCATGTGTGGCTGGAGCACTCACGCCGTCGCTGGGGCGGGGAGTGGGAGACAGAACCCCACATCTCGCAGGGCCATCAAGGAAAGCCACAGGCTTGATCTGGCCCACAGGCTGTAAGTTCCCCACCCTTCATACAAGGATGTTGTAAATAGCATTGCTATATGGAATGTAAAGGTGTGGGGGCAGGGAACAAAGCAAACAGCATGGTGTCCTCAGCCAGCCAATAATTGATCCTCATTTAGTTTTTGTTGTACTGAAGTTGTATTTGAAAGTTTAGGAGTATTTGGTTGGATTTTCAGTTCTATATTTAACAGCACTGTATGTGTGCAGGGCACGGAGGAGTCATGTGGCTCTTTTGGTTAATGGGGGTTGCACACGTGGCTCCCGAGTCACATAACTGTGAGTACCATTTGTGCAATAGTCAAAATCCCTTGTTCTAAAGAGCAGTCCTTGCAGAAACAAGGAAAATAATGCAATGAAATCATGTGAGTGAAAGAAGCCCATCTGGAGGAAGCAAGTATAGGTGTGGAAACACTGTCGCAGCTTTATCTTAGGGTTAGGTCTCTTCAGGAAACGAATCTAATCAGAACAAGTTGAAGCAGTGTCCAATTGCAAAATCCCCTGGATCTCAGTAGCCCTATTCTGCAGCAAGTCCCATTCCCCTACAGTGCTGAACACAGAGAGAAGAGATACAAGGTATCCTGTCCTGTGCTACTAAGTTCACAGAAAGGGTAGAGTGAGCACATCAATTAAAGCCACTCAATGCAGTGTACATCTGGGGAATGTGAGGGAGAGAACCATGGCACCAGCATCTCTTTTGAAAACAACAACAGAAAAGTCTCTAAAAATACTTGCGTTGCAGGAGGTGGAAGTGCTCTGGATTCTCGGTGGTGAGGGCAGCTACCACCGACACCATGGCATCATAGTCATCTGTCTTCTTATACGCCGACAGTGCTGCACAGAAGTGGCTGTAGCTGGTTTTGTCGAAAGCTTTTCTCAGATCATTGAGGTATGTAACCCTGACCAGCTCATGGGGGTCCTCCCTGAGAGAGCTTGATGTCGCTTCAGGGCCCTCCTTAGGGATAGGGGTGGGATCTTCTCCTGAGACAAAACACACATTATCAATGCTTTGGGAAGCACGAGTCTAATGTTTTTTAAAGGAGACATGTAATTTGGATCCTTGTACCCTGCCTGCATATTCTAGGAATCTGTTAAATCAATGGAAAATTAGCAAAAGTTACAACAGCCGCAATGTATGAGGGGTCAGGACTAAAACAATGTCTTTTTTCCCCCATAGGCAGCAAGTAGCAATTTTCCAAACAGCCGTGCCAACAAATAGTGCTGGCATGTCAAGGAAGCAAGCAAGCCGACTTCCATACAGGCCTCTCTGTATGGAGGTGGTGCACTAAGGAGGGGACATGTGACCTCCCCATGTGTCGTCTCCCTGCTCCACTCCTAACCTGGGCACCTCCGACACATTTCTTTCCTGGGGGAGGAGCTCTGTCCTTCAGTACTGGCTCCCTCCCTTCCCCACCCCAGCAGATTTGGCTGCCGTCCCTGGAAGCCAGGCCCAGCCAGGAAGTGGTTCAGAGCTGCTCGGGGCTATTCCTTACAGTGTAGCCAACTGCCTGGGAAAGCCTGGCTGGGGAGGGACAGCAGCTTTTGGGGACAGGGCCAATTGTGCTAGATTTGAGGGGGCTCCAGCTCGCTCAGCTGCTGTTCCCAGAAGCTGAGCCTGGCCAAGGGGCAGCCCGGCGCTACATGGGGCAGTGTCCCGGTGCTGGCTCTGCTCCTTCCTCTCCCCACTCAGGCAGCTGTTGAGGAAACATGACCTTGTGTGGCTCTGATGCATTGCCTCTTTGAAATAAAGCAAGAAAAAAAGAACACTTGCCAGATACGAAATCATCATCAAAAGGAAATAATTATTTCAACCTTTTTTTAAAAACAGTATCATATGCAACAGAGAAGCCGACACCATTGTTTTAACTGCATAGTTAGGTCTATTTTGTATTTTGGTGCAGTCTAAAGGAGTAGACTTTGATTAATGGGCCACCGAGCTTTGTTACAGTGATGAGAGGTCGTTTGTATTTCAGCACAATGCCAATCAACAGTTGCAGTGGCCACACGCTGACAAATAACATTTACATTTTTGTTAAAAAAAAACGCATACCCAAAATGGAAATTCTGTTTGAAAAGGAACTCAGCTCAGCATCCTGAAGGAGGAGGGGGATGAATAAAGTGCATGGGGCTACACAGCATGGTGGGAATTTTGTAATCTGTATCTTTTTACAGCAGTATATAGCAGGGAACCATCTGACACCCTCACTCATAGGGAAACATTCTATTTAGGGAATAACCTAGACAACAGAGTAATGCAGAAATACTTTTTCTTAATACTGGAGGCCTATTTGCCTAACAACTGGACCTGTTGTTTATTAATGGCTCGTTTGTTCCAGCTGCTTGTTTCCCCACACAAAGCCTCTGAGGACATCAGTCATTCTTACCTCATCACAGAGAACTATGAACTCAGGTGAGAACTAAGCAGCAGGCTCTAACAAAACAATGAAAACAAATATCCTGTTCTCAGGAAATAGGAAACAAGAAAACTACACCTCCTTCCTAACAGAAAATCTTTTAAAGCTTTTCTTGAAATGCCAGCAGCTCTTTGCAAGATGATTACAAAATCTTGGACTTTCCTCTACTCTTTAAAATGCCATAAAATCTTAACATTTAACAGGTATAGTCACTGATTACAGCTAAGGGCCATGTTGAGAAGGCAGTTTAAAAAAGTGTGTTTTTTATGAACTAAGCTTACATGTACTAGTGATAGAAAGTTATCTTATTCATTTCTCCAAGCAACTCCTGGCTGGTCTCAGCAACAACCCTTTCATCAGATCTGCACAGAGCCACTGACTTTCAGAAGTAAATGTTGGAAAAAACAAGGCCAAAGGGATGGGTGCAAAGGACACATAACTGCATGGTCCATTTACTGAGCCATATTTCTGAAAAATATAACACTAGGCCTATGCTGTGACACAGAGGCCTATTTGTGGTAAGCACTCTTTGTCAACAGGTCTTGTCAGGCTTGAGATTCTCATCACACCTAATATACTATTGTTATAACCAGTCTCTACACACCTAATATACTATTGTTATAACCAGTCTCTACAAAGTGCCACGTTAGAGACCACTGGAAAGCCAATAACTTATGAATATTTTTGTCTGATGTATGCACAGGGCACGTACAGAAGTTATGAATATGTACTAAAATTATGTTCTTAAAATGTGTTTTGCAATGCATACGCACAGCCTGCTCAAGTCAGATTTACCTCAATTTATGTAGAAGCAAAAAAACAAGGCCATTTAACTAACTAGCAGAGGAGATTGTTAAAATGCAAATTGTTGTGTTTCCTGCAAACATGAGCCAGGAAAGAAAAAGCATGGAGGTTCCCTTCACCACCAGACTCCAATTCACAGCTTGAATAAACTTTACTTTGAGGTGCAGCTTTCAAAGTAATCAGTTTCAAAGGTTTACTGGTCAATAAAGCAGGGAGGGAAGCTGAACTGATAAGCACTCCAATCGTAATTATATACAATATTTCTGTATTTAAACATTCAGAGAGTGAGATCTTTTCTAAAAACTAATGACACTGGTGATTAATGTCATTGTGATATATCTGTATTAGCACTATAAGAGAAGTCTCACAGGGGTAGCCGTGTTAGTCGTTATCTGCAAAAACAAGGAGTCCTGTTACACGTTAGAGACTAACAGATTTATTAGGGCATAACCATTCCTGGTAAAGCTCATTTCATCAGATGAATTGGAGTGGAAGTTACAGAAGCAGGAGTATATCTAAGGAAGTTGCTTGTGTTAATTAAGCTAATCGAGTCAGGGTGGAAGTGGGTTGTTCACAGCATTTAGTGTGAAGATGTGACTATTCAACACAATTAATTAATTTAGAACTGAATAAGGATCTTAACTGGTTAACCCATTACAAAGGCAAATTTCCCCTCTCTGAATAGTTACATCTCCAGACCAAATGCTATGAAAGGGACAAACATCATTCCAGAACCTCCCTGTAGGACAGTGGTCACCAACCAGTAGTTCAGGATCTATTGGTAGATCTTGGAACCTTTGACAGGTGATCCTGAAAGGTTTGGCTGGGAGGCTATCAAGCGCTGGCCCTTCATCTGCCCCTCTCAGCACTGCCATGCTGCTCCTTCCCTCTGCCTTGGAGGTACCCTTCACCCCTGGGTGCCCCCTGCTTGCTGTGCAGGGCATGGGAAGAAAAGGAGGGGGTGCTGATGTCAGGGTGCCCCTCCCTCCATCCTGTACCCCATCTCCACAGAGCAGAGGGGACAGGATGGAGAGAGTTTGCTGGCTGCTTTTGGGAGTGTTGCGGGGCCAGTGTAGGTAGGGGTGAGCCTGCCTTAGCCCCCCTGCACCACGACCCAGAAACCATCTGTAGTAAGCGGTGCCCAGCTGGATCCTGCATTCCGAATCCCGGCCCCAGTCCTGAACCCTTCCTGCACCCCAAACCCCTGCCCCCAGCCTGATAAAAGTGAGTGAGGAGGGGGAGGGAGGATGGAGTAAGCAGGGGGAAGGCCTCAGAGAAGGGGTGGGAAGGAGATGGGCAAGGGTGTTTGGGTTTGAGGTAGATCCTGGATTTCACTTAACTTCAAAAAGTGACCTTATGCTTTAAAAGATTGGAGACCACTGCTATAGGATAAGGACTGGAAGAGATTAGACCTTTTTGGACACTAGGCCGACTCTCATTCAGAGCCTCTGCCATGAGGGAGTTTGGAATACTTTTTATCCTCCCTTTTACAGATGGATGGTATTGCTGCCAGGTCTTGATTTAAAGTCTCCTTTAATTCTTCAACAGCCTCAGATTTTTTCTTAGCCTTTCCTGGTCACACCGCTCCTGCACAGTAGCCGCCTCGCGATGCCATTTGTGTCGTTGACTGCACGTGCAGTACAGCCCTCCTCCATTCCTTCTCTACTATGGAATGAAGGGTGCAGACTCTAGAGCAGCGAGGAGGAGATAGGCTAGTGGAGCACGCACAGCGACCCACATCTTGAAGAACCATTGTGACTGCACAAGATGAGTAACTGCTTCTCTGAGTGCTGTCCCTGTGGGTTCACCACTCTAGATATCTGTAGAGCAGTGCTCTGTGGGAGGATGGCTTTGGAGTCATGACTGAGTCAGAGATGAGAAGACAGCTTGTCCCACAGTGGCTGCAGGAATGGGGCCAGTTGTGGTATAGTGCGTGGGAAAGATATGTTCAGAGGACCAAGGTGCAGCCCTGGATAGGTCCTGCAATTGGTATGTCTTTCCGGAAAGCTGTGCATGTGGCTCTGGTGGAGTGTGCTGTTATCCAACATGGAGGTTGTTTGTTGTGTACAGTGTAACAAGTATATGTACAGGAGGACAGCCACTTAAGACAGTTGGGATGAAACAGAGTTGGCCTTGCAACGTTCGGCAATGAATAAAAAGAGTCTGGGGAACTTGCAGAAAGACTGAGTCTTGTCAAGGTAAATAGCGAGTGTGTGAAGAGAGGCCTGTAAATGTCCTTGGGAGGTTAGGGGAAAAAAGTAGGAAGGTGTATTGGCTCAGTGATGTAGAAAGTTGGAGGCCACTTTTGGTAAGAATTTTGAATGGGGGTGTAATGTAACTTTATTTGTATTGGCAAAGTGCTCAAGAGCCCCCATCATGGACCTGGACTCCTTGCGCTGTGTGCTGTACAAACAGAACAAAAAGATGGCCTCTCTACCGACAGCTTGCAATCCTAGACTACAGGCTTTTGTTGACAGAAGTTTTGTTGACAGATACTGTCGACAAAGCTTCTGTCGACAAAGAGCATCTAAACTACATCCAGTTCTGTCGACAAAGGAAGCCACTTTGTCGACATGACAGTGTAGACACAAAGGACAGTGTAGATGCAATAACACCTTCTGTCGACAGAACTCTGTCGACAAAAGGTGTTATTCTTTGTAGAATGAGGTTTACAGCCGTCGACAAAACTGCTGAGTTCTGTCGACGTTATGTTGACAGAACTCAGTGGCAGCATAGACACAGGTATACTTTTGTTGACAAAAGTTCACTTTTGTCGACAAAACCCTGTAGTCTAGACACACCCTAAGTGTAAGATAAGAAACAACAGATGGATATTGACAAAAAGTTCAGAAAAGGGCTACAAAAATGATTAAGGGGTAGGGACAGCTGCCATCCGAGGAGAGATCAGAAAGACTGGGACTTTTCAGCTTAGAGAAGGCTATGGGGGATAGGATAGAGGTCTAGAAAATCATGACCGGTATGGAGAAAGTAAATAAGGAAAAGTTATTTACTTGCTCCTACAACACAAGAACTAGGGGTCACCAAATGGAATTAATAGGTTGCAGGTTTAAAACAAACAAAAGGAAATTTTCCTTCACACAACACAATCAAGCTGTGGAACTCCTTGACAGATGATGTTGTGAAGGCCAGGACTTTAACGGGGTTCAAAAAAGAGCTAGTAACTCCTAAATCTTGTGTTATGGGAGCAAGTAAATAGCTTTTCCTTATTTACTTTCTCCACACTGGTCATGATTTTCTAGACCTCTATCCTATCCCCCTTAGCCATCTCTAAGCTGAAAAGTCCCAGTCTTTCTGATCTCTCCTCAGATGGCAGCTGTTCCTACCCCTTAATCATTTTCATTGCCCTTTCCGTCAATATCCATTTGTTGTTTCTTATCTTACACTTAGATTGTAAGCTGTCAGTGGAGAGGCCATCTTTTTGTTCTGTTTGTTCAGCACACAGCGCAAGGGGTCCAGGTCCATAAAATCATGGAGGATAAGCCCATCAATGGCTATTAGCCAGGATGAGCAGGGATGGTGTCCCTGAGCCTCAGCTCTTCAGAAGCTAGGAATGGACAGCAGGGGACGGACTGCTTGATGGTTACCTGTTCCGTTCATTCCCTCTTGAGGCACCTGGCATTAGCCACTGTCAGAAGACTGCTGGACCTTTGGTCTGACCTAGTATGGCCATTCTTATCTTCTTATGACAAACCAACAGGGAAGCATAAGAAAAAAATGAACCGGGTATTTGCACTGCTATGTCTTTAAGGAAAACGTACCTGCTCTATTCAGTCCAGAGGTTAGGTGGGCACCTCCCTTGTTCAGGTGTAGCTGGGAGTTCAGCTGGCTAGACGAACCCTCTGAGAACGTCGTTTTCTGCAGGCACTGCTTTTCCCCTATTAAATTAAATTAAACTAGTTAGCTAACAGTGAGTTGAGAGGCTTAGAATGTATGTGAAAAGCTGTTTAGAGAGACACAAGAAGCCTGGGATTTCCTAGCATCTCTCTCCTCAAGCACTGCATCTGGAAACCACCCGCTCCATTATTTTGGCAAAGAGAGGACCAGAAGGATGTGTATCAACCCCCCCGCCCAGGCTCCTTCGAGAGCTCATCCTTCTGCGTCACAACGCTTTTCTGGGGTTCAGGATGCCATAGCCAACCCTTCTTTATATGGCTGTCTCTCATACTCAAAGGAACAAACCCTGGCTCTCTGCAACCCCATCCAGATTGGCAGGATTTGTGTTTCAGCCCCCAGCTGAATTAACTTACTACCAATACTTTTAGTTGATGGAAGAACATCTGTTAGAGCACTGTGATATACGTCTAGTGTTGGACCATGTGCCTTACCTGCCTTCTGGGCCAACACTTCTCTCTCCTCTCGCAGGAGGCTGTGCTCAGGTTTGTAGCCACAGCCCAGTCCAGTCAGGCTACAGCACGCTTCGTCAAACTGCTTTTTATGCTGAGGTCGCACAAACTGGTAAAATTCTTTCATTAAGAAAGAGAAATAGTAAGTTCCCACCTGCAATTTATACATCCCCCCCACACAGAAAATCCCACCGAGACCTGCTGCTGGCAGGACTTGCAGTTCAGAGCCAGGTACCAAACTGACGTAGGATTAAGAGAGACGGTGAGGGAAGGTGTTTTGTTGGTTTCGAGCCAGACCCAAGCTCCATTTTCAGAAGTGACTGTGGCACTTAAGAGACCAAATCCATTTCTGTCTCAATGAAATGAAGGCTCCAAAGTGCCTAAGTCACTTTTGAAAATGGGACTCAGAAGCTTTTGAACTGCTTTCTCTCTGTCACAGTTGTACATAATTGTACAATATGGACACATTGAAAAAAAATCTGCTACTTCAACTGTTACTACTAAGTGCTTATATCTGGGGTGGACAAACTCTCTGGCCCGAGGGCCATATCAGCTTACAGAAATTGTATGGAGGGCCATGAATGCTCATGAAATTGAGGTTGCACTGCAGGAGGGGGCTCTGGGCTGGGGCAGGGAGTTGGAGTGCAAGTGTGGGCTCTGGGTAGGATTGGGGGATGAGAGCAGCCGAGGGGTTTAGAGGATGGGAGGGCGGAGGTTAGGGTGAGAGAAGGGGTTCAGGAGTCCAGGCTTAGGGCTGCACTTACCACCTCAAGCAACCCCCAGAAGCAGCAGCATGTCACCCTTCCGGACGGCTCTTACGCAGAGGAGCGGCCAGGTAGCTCAATGCACTGCCTCTCCCCCTCCCCCCGCCCATCCACAGGTGCTCCTTATAGCTCCCATTGGTCATGGTTCTCAGCCAGTGAGAATGGTGCTTCGGGCAGGGGATCTGCACAGAGTCCTCTGGCTGTCCCTACATGTAAGAGCCAGAGGGGGGACATGCTACTGCATCAGGGAGCCGTGGAGCGGCATGGCTCATGCAGAGCAAGACAAGCCCTAAATCCGTGTCCCCAGCAGGCATCCGATGGCCAGATTAAAACAGCTGATGGGTGCGGATATGGCCCACAGGCTGTAGTTTGCCCACCCTTGGCTTATATAGTGCTTCTCACTACTTGAATATAAAACACCTTACAAAAAGGAGACGAAACGGTGGCTTTGTCTACTCTGCAGCGTTAAGCTGACATAAAGCAGCTACACCAGAATGCTACTTCTATCCAAATAATAGCCTGCTACGCCGACATAGTAACTCCTTACGTCGATGTATTTAGGGCGACACAGCATCTTTGTCAGCAACGGGGGCTAGCAGGTGAGGCCCTCCCCCCTCCAGCACTGACATCACAAGCCGTCAGTGGAATGCAGACTTAGAGCTGTGATCCCCCAGTCCTGTTGCTGCCTCGGTGACAGACTGGCAAGGGAGAGCCTAAGCACAGATGTCATCTGGTCTTGGGCTCTTCTGCTCTCAGTCCTTCAACAGAAGGAGGCCGCACGGACAGGGGTCTCGGGCTGTCCTCCCTCCCAATCCCTTACCAAAAGGCAGTAACTGAAGCACCCGGCTGTCAGTCCTGGCAGAAGGGCACAGGGCAGGAACTCTCCCTCTCTAGCTCCAATGTTGACAGACCAGAGCCCAACTGCCACGTTCTGGTGAGGGATTGGTGAGTGGAGCCCCCACAGGCTGAGAGAAGGACCCAGAGCAGAAATGGGAAATAACAGCCCTGAAACTGACAAGAATCTCAATTTCATGTCTGGTAGGCTCTCGTCTGTGAAACTGAACCACCCGTGGGCTCACAGCTCCGGTTGCCAGCCAGGTTCCTTGCAAGCAGTGCGCTTGTGTAGCTGCTTGGGAGAGATTCAAATGCCACTGCTGATCAGTTGATTAGCAGAGCACCCACAGCCAGGTTTGTTGTTGCTGTTGGTGGTGCACATTCATACATGCCTCAGTGCACATACAATTATTCTAAACACAGATGGAAAAGATTAGAGGGAACAGTTTCCAGCACAGGGGTGGGGGACTCAGCTATGAGCCCACATCAGACTAACAACTTGAGCTTTCAGGACAGGATCTGCCATTGTGAGTCCCATACCTACAGCTGAAGGTGTCAGCCATTGGGCAGCTATCAGTGTCCTACCATGCCCCATTTAACTGGTGTAAGCTCTCCTGGTAAGGACATGCACCGCTGGCAGAAGGAACATGAACCATTGTTTTAATTATTGCAGTGGCTGTATGTCCACTTAATTTTGCAGCGTGTACAAACTCAAAGGCAGACAGTGGTTAAATCACATGCCCATGATCACATAAGTCCTGTGTTCTCCATCGCCTCCCTGACGAATCATGTTAGGAAAATAAAAGTACAGGCTGGAGACTCCCTTAGCCCAATCATCTGTTCCCATATTTCTGGCTTTAAAAATAGTAAAATATGAGGGGCATGAATGAACTGAAAAATAAAAATAAAAATAAAAAAATGAAACCCCTGAGATTTACTAACAATGAGTAGCCCTGTGGCATCTTAGAGACTAACGAATATATATCTGTAGCATCATGAGCTTCCATGGGCAAAACCCATATTTTCCACTCAAGCGAATCTGAGGAAGTGGGTTTTGCCCACGAAAACTCAAGATGTTAGAGATATATTTTTGTTAGTGTCTAAGGTGCCACCAGGCTACTTGCTGCTTTTAACGTTATAGACGAACATGGCTACCCCCGAGATCGAATTTTACTGTAACACTAACTCTGTGCTTAGGTGTTAGCAAGGGTTACTGCCATTTGAAGAAAAGCAAGTGTAGGGGACAGCAACAGCATCCTCTCATAAGTGTTTTGGATTTAAACAAATATTTTGTCTAAAGGAAACAAACTCAAAAGCAAATTAACTCCCACCTCTCAAGCCATCTGTGGCCTGAGCACTTCTCCAATCCAGCCCATGAAATTCACAATCTTGCTGGAAGGGCACAAGTGGGGTTACGCAGGGGTCTGTTTTGGGATCGGTTCTGTTCAATATCTTCATCAACAACTTAGATATAGGCATAGACAACACGTTTATTAAGTTTGCAGATGATATCAAGTTGGGAGGGGTTGAAGGTGCTTTGGAGGAGAGGGTCATAATTCAAAATGATCTGGACAAACTGGAGAAATGGTCTGAGGTAAATAGGATGATGTTTATTAAGGACAAATGCAAAGTGTCTCACTTAGGAAGGAACAATCAATTTCACACATACAGAATAGGAAGCGACTGTCTAGGAAGGATACTGCTGAAAGGGATTTAGGGATCATAGTGGACCACAAGTTAAATATGAGTCAACAGTGTGACACTGTTCCAAAAAAACCATGGTTCTGGGATGCATTAACAGGAGTGTTGTGAAAAAGACACAAGAAGTCATTCTTCGGCTCTACCCTGTGCTGACTAGGCCTCAGTTTGAGTATTATGTCCAATTCTGGGCACCACATTTCAACATGGAGAGATTAGAGAAGATCCAGAGAACAACATAAATGATTAATGGTCTAGAAAACTTGACCTATGAGGGAAGACTGAAGGAATTGGGCTTGTTTAGTTTAAAAAAAAGAAGACTGAGAGGGGACATGATAGCAGTTTTCAAATACCTAAAAGGGTGTTACAAGGAAGAGGAAGAAAAATTGTTCTCCTTGGACTCTGATGACAGGACAAGAAGCAATGGGTTTCAATTGCAGCAGCAGAGGTTTAAGTTGACATCGGGAAAAATGTCCTGCCTGTCATGGTGGTTAAGCCCTGGAATAAATTGTGGAATCTCCATCACTGAAGATATTTAAGAGCAGGTTAGGCAGACACCTGTCAGGAATGGTGCTTGTTCCTGCCGTGAGGGCAGGGGACTGGACTTGATGGACTCTTGAAGTCCCTTCTAGTTCTGGTATGCTATGATTTTATGATGCTATGATTTTGAAAAAGTTATTTAACCTGGCCTGCACAACTAGCCGGGGACAGGGTGGCACACAGAGACTCAGCAGCTCCCAGAAGCAGCTAGGCCCCCAGTGCCCACAAAGTGCTGGCCACAAAGGGCTCTGCTCGGTCTGGGAAGCCATGCTGGTGATGTGACCTAAAGTCTTCCTTAATAAAAACAGAAAAAGAAAAAGAAGGCTGGGATTCTCTTCTAATGCAATGCACCAACAAACAAGCATAATCTACTAAATCAGAGTGATCACAATTGATAGAGATGCATGAGGCATCAGGTAGTGAACTTCCCAGATCTGGCTTAATTCTAATAACCTGGCTGGGGCTTTCCAGAAGAAGAAGAAAAGCCCCAATGATGAGGCTTGTGATCACATCAGGAGTGTTGGCATCGCTGAGATCTAGTCAGTTTCACAAAATGAGTTGTTAGTTTCATAGGGGATGGGCCAACTCTGCACAGACCTCACCCAGACCATAGGGATGTGCTGGCAGAGGCATGAAGCCTCTTGAGCCCCGATGCATTGCTGGTGGTGGTAGTGGGGCCCTGGGTGGGTTTTAAATTGCTCAGGGGCAGAGGCAGGGCCAGGGGATATATGGGGGTGCACAGGCAGCAGGTAGGGCCAGGGGATGCATGGGGGGGAACATGCGGAAACCCTTGCTCCTGCTCCCCCTCCCCCAGATCCTTGCCATAGGGGAGTGACCTACTAGGATGATCTGAGGCACTGGCCCTAAGGTAAATTGAGTTTGAGACCCCTGCTTTAGAGCATATGAGGAAGATATAAATATCATCAGCTCAGAAACGTAAAACACTGCAATTTAAAAGAAAAATCCTCAGAAGATCTCTCTTTTGTCTTCCCAGAGCAGATTCTGCTTCTCTCATCATCTCCAACAAATATGTTCTTACTAACTCAGAGGTGGGCAAACTTTTTGGCCTGAGGACCACATCAGAGTATGGAAATTGTATGGAGGGCCATGAACTCTCATGAAATTGGGGGTGAAGCACAGGAGAGGGTGAGTGCTCTGGCTGGGGGTTGGTCTCTGGGGTACAGCCAGAAATGAGTTCAGGCTGCCTGCCAGAGTGGGCTCCTAGCTGGGGCAGGAGGTTGGACTGCAGTAGGTGGGAGGGCTCAGAGGTGGGCTGGGGATGAAGGGTTTGCGGTGCATGAGGAGGGTGCTGCACTGGGACTGAGCGGTTTGGAGGGCAGGATGAGGATCATGGCTGGGGCAGGGGCTTTAGGCTTGGGGTTGTGCTTACCTCCTTAAGCAGCTCCCAGAAACAGCAGCATGTCCCCCTTCCAGCTGGCTCCTATGCAGAGATGCCAGCTCTATGTGCTTCCCCTCACCCCACTGTCTGCAGATGTCAGCCTTGCAGTTCTCATTGCTCACAGTTCCCAGCCAATGGGAGCTACAAAGGCGGTGCCTGGGCAGGGGCAGAGCATGATGCCCTCTGGCTGCTGCTACATTTAGAAGCTGGCTAGGAGGGCGGTATGCCGTTGTTTCTGGAAGCCGCGCGGAGCAGGGCAAGCTCCCCCTGACTGCTTTTCCCACCGGGAACTGGAGAGCTGGATTAAAACAGCTGGTGGGTTGGTATTGGCTCCCTCTGTTCTAAAACACTAGCATTTGCTTTCAATTGTCCTAAGCTAGCAACTCCTCTTATCCACAGTAACAGCTAAGAAATCAAGGTTTCATAATGCTTAAAAATATACCAATACCAACTCTCATTTTGAGACATTAACAACAATGCAGGGCAAGTTCTAGAACAACACAACATTATTTCTCATGGGCTCCCAGGACTCTTTCAGCCTTGTGCTATGCTGCAGGTGTGTTATTATGCTATTATAATTCATGCTCTCTCAACATGGGGCACTGCAGATTAAAAACAAATGCCAGTACAGGATCGATAGGTATTCAAGCAGAGAGCCACGCTGGTCAGCTCACCGGCCTTCTTTTCCTGCTCCCTTTCCACATTAGCCAGTCCCCTAACTCATTCCTGTTTTTAAACATTGATAAATAAGATCAGTTAAAAAAAATGGAAATTCCAACTCCAAAAACTTCAATGTCAAGTTAAGGTACCTCAAAGTCTACTTCCTAGCATCACAATCATCGAAAATCAAGGAAATCACCTGGTAAGGCATACTGCTAACCTCAATGACATGCTTTACACATCCCAATTACCATCAGTACCAAAAAGATACTGTCCACACAGCTCCAAACTAATGCCATTTTCTGTTTTAACATCAAACTGCCTCAAAGCACATAATTAATTTCTCACAATCCCATAATCTTAATTCCACTGTAGGTCAGGATGAAGGTATTTCCAATCAATATCAAAGTCTATACACAAATTAACTGTGCATGAAAGGCATAATAAGGTCCCTACAATCAACATGACCTTAATTTTTTTCCATCCACGTGTGAAACAAATTGTTTATGCGTGTGCAGATGTGCACCACCAGTAGAAACAAAACACCTTGCAGTGAGTGCTCTGCTAGTCAGATGGGCAACATTTCAGTCTTCACTGAGTGGCTGTACAAGCTCACAGCTTACAGGGAAACTGTTAACAATGTTAATTGTTTTATTTCATATAACCATGAGACCCATTCACATATTATAAGCTAACCTGCAATGGCTAAGTTGATTGTTTGTACAGTGTTTTGAAAATGTAAAGCCCCTATATATGCGTGAAGGATTATTAATGAATTGTACTTCATACAGCAGTGCTTACTTTGGGAATGCAAGATCCCAAGGAAAAAAAAGCTGTGTCCTTTGGGATAAATTCAGAGAGACGGCCATACCTCGCAGCAGGATGTGCTTTTTCTGGTCCTCCAAGAAAAGAGAGCTCATTTGGGATAACATGGCTTGGAAGTCATCTGTCCTCTTGTATTGCTGCAGAGCCTTTGAGAAGAGGTCGTAGTGTAGCTGGCTCAGGGCTTGCTTCACTGTTGCAATAAACACTGTGGCCCTGGTCGTCTTTGGCTCAGCAGGGTCTGCTACTTTGTCAGCTTGCTGCAAAGAGGCCACCAAGGTTTTTCAGTAAATGGGATGCATTGGAGAGATTAACTGAAATGGGAACAAGCAATCCCAGGAACTTTGTTTCAACATATAGCATTTCAACAAGGTGCAGAACAGTTATAGTCAGTGAAGGGGGCATGAGTTAACGAATCAGCACAGAAACCACTAAAAGCTTCTTAATGACTAACAGCCTGTTAACGCCCGTTAAACAATGGCAGATGCATTACCTACGCACTATCTCCTGATATACAAGATTCAGTACTGCAGGAGGGAACACAAAATCCAACTGTGTCTGGCTGCTGAAATTCAAGGGGCTACGTCTACACTAGCCCCTTTTCCGAAAGGGGCATGTTAATTTTACAGGTCGTAATAGGGAAATCCGCGGGGGATTTAAATATCCCCTATGGCATTTAAATAAAAATGTCTGTCGCTTTTTTCCGGCTTTTAGAAAAGCCGGAAAAGAGCGTCTACACTGGCCCCGATCCTCCGGAAAAAAGCCCTTTTCCGGAGGATCTCTTATTCCTACTTCAAAGTAGGCTTTTTTCTGGAGGATCGGGGCCAGTGTAGACGCTCTTTTCCGGCTTTTCTAAAAGCCGGAAAAAAGCGACAGACATTTTTATTTAAATGCCATAGGGGATATTTAAATCCCCCGCGGATTTCCCTATTACGACCTGTAAAATTAACATGCCCCTTTCGGAAAAGGGGCTAGTGTAGACGTAGCCCCTGTGTATACAGAGCATGGGTTCTGTGAAACAGATGGAATTTAGCTCATTTTGGTTAAAGATGCTGACACACATAAACACACACACACGTACAGCGAGCAAGCACGGCAACAAGATGAATCTGGCACTGTAAGACTTGATTTCTCTGTCACGAAAAGCAGGGAATTTGAGAAATACCCCAAAAAACCAGCCAGCTAAAAAGAGTTACTGTGTGAAGAGGAAGTTGCCTCAAAGGCTCCTCGCTGAATACAGCGAAGATCCCAATGATTCTACACCTGAGGAAATGACCTTGCAAGCAGAGTTTAATGCTTGCGCCCAGTAACTCTAGAATAGAAGCAGGAATTTCAGGAGACTGGCTTGTACAGTGGAACACAGTGGGGATTTTCCTAAGGATATAGCTTATATTTCTGTTGTTAGTTTCCTACTTGTCCTATGATAGCAGCTGTGCTAATTGGGTCTGAATCATAGTGTGCTCATACAGTCAGAACAGAAGGCCTTCAGCATATTTTAATACACCCATTCCTCATGAGCCTTTCCCCATGGGTATATCCTTAGGGCAACCAAGGGTGACTCTCTGGGGAATTCCAATGTGAATGCAACAAATTCCCCAACTTTTATGATTATATATGCCCCTAAAACACTCATCCCTGTAACATCTGGGGTCATTCACATACATTTAAATGTTTACCTGTTCCCTCCCTCAAGGAAGAGGAACAAACTCTAATCCCCTTCCTCGCTGATCACTGCCACCTGCTTTAGGAATTGAACACTGGATGAATTGCTTTCTAGGGCAAGCAGCCAGGTCGCATTGCACAACTCTGTTCTTAGGAGAAGGCCTGCTAAAAGAGGCCCTGAATTATACCTTGGAGGCTACAAGACTGACTCATCATGATCCAGGTGCCAGTGCCTTCCTCCACTGAAAGCAACCTACTCTCATTCCTCTTCAAGCCTGGATTCTGTCAGGTTCAGTATCACTGAGCACAGTGGGAGGTGGAGTGACAGGTGGTCACTTCAATAGTTAGTTTCTAATCCAATTCAGGCTTTGAAAAAATACAGCAGTGTCTTGACATGGCTCTAGAAGCATATGTAGGCTGGGTACGGTGCTCGTATCGATTTGTCCTACCTTGCAGGCAGGCAGCTGCTTGATGAATCTGCCATATAATTTCTGAGTCAGATTGCATTGCAACAGCTCAGCCCTGAGGTGACAAAAGCCCAGCTCACTGTGGTAAGCCTACGTCTCAGCCAGACAGAGCAAGTCATGGCTGCTATCCGAGCCTCTGTGAGCAGTGCAAAAGAACTGGGAGCTTGCATGCCATTTTGGAATGGGAGAGAAGATGTTCTCTACTAGATGGGCAGTCGCCACTCCAGGAAAAGCTTCAAACACTTCACCCTTTCTACGTACATTAATTACCTCAGTCTATCCTCAACTGAGCCCCGTACTGTCTACTCTCGATAAGGAGATGACAAAGCTGGATGAAACAGGATAACAATGGCACCGCAGTGTCATCAACCTTAATTCAGCCCCCCCTGGGAATATGCATTATAATACAATCTTTAATTACATAATGGTTGCCTTGTTCACCACACACCTTGCACAAATGAGGTAGAGGTCTATAGACAACAGCCACCTTCACTACTCAACCCTGGCCCATTCCCAGAGCACGGTCAATCCCTGTGCACTGAATGAGGTAGAAATCCTGTGGAAAAACTAGCATGTGATCACATAATTTAAGGAAGCAAAGTTCTACGCAAGGTCTCACAAGCAACCTCGATGCAGGCATTCCCTACCAACTGAGCGTTTGACTTTGAAACCTTAGTGTTCATTTAATGTGGTTTTAAAATGCAATTTCCTGGATTATTTTTTTTAACTTGAAAATTGAAAAATCAAAACCAAAAATTTCACCATGTGGAATCATACTGATCTCCACACAAACTGTTAGCAGCGTTAGGAGCTTTAGAGCCACAGCACAATCCTTTACACTTAAGCTAGCTGGAGCAACTAGTAGCAGTAGAAAGCTAGTATTTTCTATGTGGACATGTCTCTAGAGGGGGGAAGGAGAGACACACTTTGCCCGAGTTTCACAGCTACTTGCCAGAGATTTCCTCTTTCCCACTTCCCCTGCACACATCGGATGCTGTTTCCTCTCCCGCAGCTCCTGGGTGCTGACCACCTCACTCCGGGTATGTCTACACTACAGAGTTAGTTCGAACTAACTTAGTTCGAATTAGTTAATTCGAACTAAGCTAATTCGAACTAATGCGTCTAGAACTAAAAACTAGTGTGAATTAGCGTTTTGCTAATTCGAACTAGCATGTCCACATTGAGTGGACCCTGAACAGGGCTTAAGGATGGCCGGAAGCAGTGCCGGCAGGGCATCAGAGGAGGACTTAGAGTGTGGAGATGCTACCTCAGGCTAGCCGAGGGCTGCACTTAAAGGGACCCGACCCCCACCCCGGACAGACATTTCTCAGGGGTGCCCCGCTTGAAAACCAGTCCTGGCCTGGAGTGCCCGGAGTGCCCACACTGGGCACATCACAGCACTCGGCAATCAGACCGGCTGCACTTGCCGCAGGCTGCCATCTGGGGAGAGGGGGCAATTGGGGGGCTGCAGGAGAGCTTCCACCCCCAGAAGCCCGCAGAGCCAGCCCAGTCCTCCCCATCGGGGGCTCGTACCCCATTCCTCCCTCACCTCCTTCCACTTCCCCTTCCCTAGCCCCCCTTCCTGATGTACAAAATAAAGATAACGTTTCTTCCAACATTGACTCTGTCTTTATTGAACAAAACTGGGGGAGACTGGGAAAAGGAGGTGGGAGAGGGGAAGAGAAAGGCTGGGAGAGGGGAGGGCAACTAACATGATCAGGGGTTGGGAACAGGTCCCAGATGAAGAGAGGCTACAGAGACTGGGACTGTTCAGCTTAGAAAAGAGGAGATGGAGCGGGGACAGGATAGAGGTCTCTAAAAGCAGAAGTTGGGTGGAGAGGGTGCATTCAGAAAAGTTCTTCATGAGTTCCCATAAAGAAGGACTAGAGGACACCAAAGGAAAGGAATGGGTAGCAGGCTTCAAACTAGTAAGAGAAAGTTGTTCTTCACAAAGCAAATAGTTAATCTGTGGAACTCCTTGCTGCAGGAGGCTGTGAAGGCTACAACTAGAACAGAGTTCAAAGGGAAGTGAGATCAAGTCATGGACGTTGGGGCCATGGAGTAGTCTTAGCCAGGGGGTAGGAGCGGTGTCCCTGCCCAAAGTTTGTGGAAGGCTGGAGAGGGATGGCACGAGACAAATGGCTTGGTCCCTGTCTTCGGTCCATCCTCTCCAGGGTCTCTAGGGTTGGCTGCTGTCGGCAGACAGGCTACTGGGCTAGATGGACCTTTGGTCTGACCCAGTAATGGCCATTGTAAGCTCAGGGCTCAGGGTCGGGGGGCTCAGTGGACCCCCTTGATTTTCATGCACACCTGCTCCTGGGTGGCCAGGCTGGCAGCTCTCCTGCCCTAGACGGCCACTTTCCTGTGCCTTTCCTGCTCCTCTCATCCCCCTCTGCTCTTCTCATTCCCCATCCTGGCTCTTGCCTCTCTCATCTCACCTCTCCTGGGGCTCCTGCTTCTAATCCCCTTATACTCAGGCTCCCGCCCTTATTCTCCAGCTTTGAATCTCTTTCCACTTGTCCCTCTGCTCTTCACTACTCTGCATCACAGTCAGGCTGCTTCTGCCTTCCTCCATGGTGCTGGGGTGCAAGCAGGGAGAGAAACACTGAGAACAAAGGAGAGACAGCTTAGTTCCTGTGCTTTGCACTACAAGGAGTCCCAGATAGGAGCAACTGCAAGGAAAGTCCTGCTCAGTCTCTGCAGCCCTGCACCAAGTTGCTCAGGGGGGATGATGGTCAGTACACAGAATGTGAGGAGCTGGACCCCTTTTCATATGGCTAAATGTAGACATCTACATCTGGGCACAAAGAACATAGGTCATATTTACAGGATGGGGCACGCTACCTTGGGAAACAGTGATTCTGAAAAACATTTGGGGGTCATAGTAGATAATCAGCTAAACATGAGCTCCCAGAATGACGTACTGGTCAAAGTGGCTAATGTGATGCATAAATGGAGGACTCTCAAGTAGAAACAGAGGGGTTATTTCACCTCTCTGTTTGGCACTGGTGTGACTGCTGCTGGAATCCTGTGTTCCCATAATTCAGGAATGACATCTCTAGTCCCAGAAGCTCGGAATGGGAACCAGGGGAGATCACTTGAGGATTCCCTGTTCTGTCCACTTGCTCTGAGGCACCCGGCGTTGGCCACTATCGGAAGACATGATAGTGGGCTACATGGCCCATTGATCTGTCCCAATAGAGTTGTTCTTATAATGCTGATAAATTGGAGAGGTTTCAAAGAAGAGCCGTGAGAATGAAAGATTTGAAAACATACTTACTGTGACAGACTCCAGGAGTTTAACCAATCTATGTTAACAAACAGAAGATATGGGGTAACTTGATTATTGTCTGCAAGTACTTACACAAGGAACAACCTCATGTAGGTGTATTTAATAATGGGCTCTTCAATCTAGCAGGAAAAAGTACAACACAATCCAATGGCTGGAAGCTGAAGCTAGACAAATTCAGACTGGAAATAAGGCATACATTTTAAAGTGTGAGAATAATTAGCCATAGGAATAATTTACCGAGGATCATGGTGGATTCTCTATCACTGACCTTTAGAAAATCAAGATTGGATGTTTGTCTAAAGCATCTACTCTAGGAATTATTTTGGTGAAATACTATTGCGAGTGCTATACAGGAAGTCAGACTAGATTATCACAATCGTCTTTATTGGTCTTCGAATACATGAGTGTGGTCTGTGCAGACAGTCTTCAGAAAATTTATCTGACAAACAAATCTCTACCGAACTCGTGCAAACCCAGTTCTTATAACTTCTTATTTTCCCAGTTCTTATAACTTATCCAGATGTGGACGTATTTTCATAGGGATGGAAGAGACATATCCCTAAAGCTATGGTGACGTCCCTGTCAAATTTTAAGTCCCTGCTCCAAAGGTGCTAGAGCTTTTCTCTACAATGGTTGTAAAATTCTGGGTTTTTTACATGGGCAAAACTACCTATTTTCCCCTAATTTAATTCTTGGGAATGGGTGAACCAGTGCAGCTGAAAATTCCCCCCAAAAATTCAATCTGAGGCAGACACTCAGCATGTAAATTATCAGTATGGATGGTTTAAGTTTGGCCAGGGTCTTATAATGGAAACTATTGGGCAACTTTGACAAAGGCATTACATATGTTATAGGTTGTGCAGGTAGCAAACAATAAGAAGCAGCCTTTTTATCTCAGATTCCACTTTCAGATAAATCACTCGACACAAACACATACCAAATTAGTCTAGTAGCATCTTAAAGACTAATAAAATATGTAGATGTAATCATGAGCTTTCGTGGGCAGAACCCACTTCTTCAGATGACCGGTTATCTGAAGAAGTGGGCTGTGCCCCCGAAAGCTCCTGATACCATCTACATGTTTTGTTAGTCTTTAAGGTGTTACTGGACTATCTGTTGTTTAAGATTTTCCTGTTACAGACTAACTCAGCTACCCCCTGAAGCTTTTGAACATACCAGATTGTTGACTATTTTTATTTTCTTTCTTCCTCCTTTCTGCTCATCTGTTAATCGCTTCTCATACTGAAGGGAGAGTGTTGATAAACGTTTGGCCTGTAAAGACAACATTTAAAGGCTTTCATTTATTTTGTCCGTCCCCCTGATTCTTGTCTTTTTTTTTTATAATAAAGATAGTTAATCCTCCACAGTGACATCACCCCAAGGAGACAAAGACAATCATAATATACTGTGTCAACGGACCGTATCCTGAATTTGATTTCCTGGAAGGGCACTTGCTTACTGGATGAGACGGAAGAATGAAACAGTGAAATAAAGAGGTACAATATGGGGCAGTTCAAAGAGGAAGAACAGTGTCTTTTGAATGTGTACAATGGTCCTAACTAGAATGTTGGCATTACACTCAATGAGTGAGGAAGTGGCTACTCTTCTGTTCCTTCCTACTTTTTTCAGAGATCCTTTTACCAATCAACTGTAGAAATTAGAGATGAAGCTAACCAGTGCAGATTATTCTGTGCCAGACAATCTTATTTTTTAATTTTGAAATGACCATTGCATGCAAAACTAATTCAAACTGCACCTGAACCTCTTTAATCCAGCAAATCTGGGAAATAGAGCCACTTCCTCCTCTGTGTTTCCGAATTAGGGACACCTGGAGTATGGAGGTTCAACTGTATGCCCATTATGGACATCTTTTACAAAACGTATAACTGGTTAACCAATTAAATGGAATTTTAAAACCCTACCTAGGACACTGCCTCACATGTTAAAAGTAAAAACCTAATACAATCACGCAAAAACTTTACCTTTCAAAGTCAGTCAGAGGAGGCTTAGGCGAGACAATGGTAAAACCACTGATGGAGCATCTAGCTAGCATTGTTGCCACAGCTAGCAGAGGCTGAACTGTACAGTTAAGTTTTTCTTAAAACTGCCAATCAAGACAAGGTTCCAAAGGAGAACAGAAAAGCTGAGGAAATGTGGAGGATATAACATTTTAATTGCAACAGACATTTCCCTAGTATAAGCAGGGTGAAAGATAATGAAAATGGCCATCTGAACAATACTGACGAAGCAGCGGGAAATCTAAACTGTTTAGGTTTTCACATTCCTTTTGAGAAAGCAGAAATAGCCAATGACTTATTTTCTCACTGCTTGCCCAAGAAAAGATTAACTTACTGAAAACATGGCAGACGGTGCATTTTCAGCATGCTGACTAATATATTTGCATATTCAGCAGGTTACCAGTACATTCCTGCCTATTTGTGTATGACTGAATGCTTAGTGTATCATTCACCAAGATCTCTGTTCATAGTTGTTTTCAGATTTCAATTTAGAAGCAGATTTCCAATTTTCCTGTAATATTCACTTTCCAACAGCTATAGTGAATGCCCACTATGAGGTTCTGTGTATACAGCAACCTCTTTGAGAAGACTCCTCAGCATTGACAAAATAATGGTGACTTCTGGGAGTCTGTGTTACTCCGAGAGCAGTGATAACATCATTATTAGCACCAATGTGAAAGTGTATTTGTAGGTCACATCCTGGAAGGCGGCAGGGTGCCCTTTCCTAAAGAGAAGCTAATATTCAAGCTCATCCTGAGACCGCTCTTGTTAAAAGTGGTGACTTACAGGGCATTTTGTGGAAGGGACTTGGACTCAGCTTACATTGAAGCGGTCAACCAAACATTTACCTTTAGGATCAGCAGTTTGCTCAAACTTACATATATTACCACCGTTACCTTTTCCTCTCCTGGCAAGTGGTCGTCTTCTACCCCTCCACTGCTCTTCTCATTATGCTCCAGTGCATCCAGGAGTCCAATGGGCTGCCTCCTGGATGGGATAAGCTGTTGATCATACTCCACACACAGGCTGGTTGCTCCATCCCTGTTTGCCAGCAGCCCTACAACATCAAGATGGAATGTAAACAAACCTGTTATTTAGCCTGCAGTAACCTTGGTTTTCCAAGATGTTGTAAGCAGTCAGGTGTAGGGTGTGTGTGTGAGAGAGAAAGAAAGAGAGAAACTGAGTAGCTGTGTCTATCGGTACTGTATATAGAAACTGTGCCTCAGGTGCTCCCATATAAGGGTATAAAACATGGGGCAACTGTAATCCTCCTTGAGTCACCTCACAATTCAAAGACTTGCCGAGGAATCTGAAAAGTAGGGTAGGTTGCGGGATCCAAAGAGAATTCCATGGGATTTCTAAGACCCAGAAAAGTTAGTGAGAGTTGGTCCTGCTTTGGGCAGGGAGATGGACTCTGGCTTCCTGAGGTATCTTCCAGCCCTCTGAGTCTATAAGATGCTTTCAGCAAGAGACTGCTGGTGGATCGCTCACCAATGGCAGTGGGCCTGGTTCAGCCTGAGCCTCATCCCACAAGAACATCATTGTCTGAGATGGTGGTGCCAGTTCTGTCATCAAAATAGAGGTCAACTGGTGCTGATGTTGGTGACGGGTCTTTTCTTGGTGACATATTCTCCATGGTAGTTTTAGTCACCTCTCTACTTGGTAGGGAGCTAAATTATGCTAGTTTCTTCATTAGGAAGATTTTGCAACTTGTTGCCTCTGGGTCTGAAGTCTGGGCCCAGAAACTGGACTTTCGGCCTCATCTAACGAGTCCTCCAGGTTAAGCATACTGAGCACCTGCTCAGAACATGAGATTCTCCTGAGCAGAAAATAACCTCTGCTGGTTGTAGAGGGAGTCTGCAAGGGGTATCTGAGAAGAGATGTTGGCTTCTAACAAAATGACCAGTCCATACTGGTTGAAACAGAAGATGAGAACTGGTTCTGAACATTTGCAGAAGAAGAACAAGTTACTCACCCTGTGTAGTAACGGTGGTTCTTCGAGATGTGCCCCATGGGTACTCCACTCTAGGTGTCAGGTCCATCCCGGCACCACTGGTCGGAAGATTTTAGAGCCATCTTCGGCCGGTCTGCGTATGCCCCCTGCAGTGCGTGGCTTTTGCGCCTTTGATCACGAGCACAGACCGGACCCCCACCAGTTCCTCTCACCGCTCGGTCCCTGAAATGGTAAATCAAAGGGAGAGACCCGGAGCGGGGAGGAGGGCGGGTCATGGAGCACCCACGGGGCACATCTCGAAGAACCACCGTTACTACACAGGGTGAGTAACTTGTTCTTCTTCTTCGAATGGCCCCGTGGGTGCTCCACTCTAGGTGACTGTATAGCAGTAACCGGAACACCAGCGCTCCAGGTCAATTAATTATTGCCTGTAAAAGACAGGAATGCGGAAGCCACCGCGTGGTCTGACACCCATCGTTGCACTATGGCATAGTGTCTCATAAAAGAAGTACTTGAAGCCCACGTAGCGGCTCTACAAATATCTGCTAGGGGAACTCCCCTGGCAAAGGCCGTAGAAGTTGCTACTGCCCTAGTCGAATGTGCCCGTGGATAAGAGGGTAACGGTTTGTTACGAATGGAGTGACACGTGGTTATGCAGAGGGAGATAAACTTAGCTATGTGTTGAGTCGAAAGCGCCTGCCCTTTGGATCGCTGCGCTGTTTATACCAAAAGTTTATCTGTTCGGTGCCACTGTCTGGTTCTGTCTATGTAGAAGGCAAGGGAACATCTAACATCCAGTGTATGAAGCACAGACTCCTTATTTGAGGCATGCGGCTTTGGATAAAAAGAAGGAAATACAATCGGTTCGTTGTTGTGAAACGACGAGGAGACCTTGGGAGTGAACGCCGGGTGCAATCGTAGCGTCACTGCTTCTTTTGAAAACAATGTGAATGGGGGAGTCGACATCATCGCTCCTAACTCACTGACTCTGCGCACTGACGTAATTGCAAGCAGGAAAGCGGTCTTCATAGTTAGCATCTGCAGTGCTACGGATGCCAGTGGTTCAAAGGGGGGAAACATAAGCGTTTCGAGTAAGTCCAAATTCCACGACGGTGGAGGTGGTCTCCGAGGTGGACTTATATTATTCAGACCCTTGAGGAATCGCTTGGTGGTCAGGTGTGAAAACAATGAGAAACCCTGTATCGGACAATGGAAAGCACTGATGGCCAATAGATGAACTCGAAGGGATGCCAACGAGAGTTCTGAAGTCCGCAAGTGAAGCATGTACTTGAGGACCTGGTGTAACGGAGCAGACAGCGGTCGGACGTTGTTTTGGAGGCACCAAGACGAATATCTGCGCCATTTAGCGAGGTAAGTACGTCTTGTCGAATCTTTTCTACTGTGAATCAGAATGGACTTGACCTGCTGTGAGCAAAGGTTCTCATCTTGTTCGAGCCAGTCAGGAGCCACGCTGTCAGATGTAACATCTCTAGCTTGGGATGTAGAAGAGAACCCCGTTCTTGAGAGAGAAGGTTCTGGTGTAAAGGCAGAGGCCACGGAGGCCATAGAGACATCCTGTGCAAGAACGGATACCAAGCTTGTCTGGGCCAGCACAGGCTGGTGCTATCAGTATCACCGTTGCTGCCTCCGTTCTGATCCTCTCCAGTGTTCTGGGAATGAGAACTATTGGAGGAAATGCGTACAGTCGTGATTTTTCCCAGTTGGTTAGTAGTTCATCGCCTAGGGATGCCTTGCCGATCCCTGCTCTGGAACAGGAAAGGCAACACTTCTTGTTGGAGGCCGTTGCAAACAGATCTACCAAGGGCGTACCCCATCTGCTGAAGACGTCCTGAATCACATCCTGCCTTATCTCCCACTCATGGTTGACGGGAAAGCATTTGCTTAGGGAGTCGTCAATGACATTGGCTATGCCAGGTAAGTAGGATACTGCTATGGTGATATTGTTCTTTATGCACCAGTTCCAACACCATACCACTTCTGTGCATAGGGAACGTGACCTTGCTCCGCCTTGTCTGTTTAGGTAATACATCGCCGCCACGTTGCCCGTAAGCACTCTGACTGTCTTGCCTCTCAGGTGAGGGAGGAAGTGCTTGCATACCAGGAATATTGCACGCAACTCCAGTCTGTTGATATGCAGACGCCTCTTGGCAGGAGACCAGCGACCCTGTATGTGTTCGTCGCCCATGTGCGCACCCCATCCGATGAGGGAGGCGTCCGACGTCAGCTGTATCGACGGAATCGGTCTGTGGAAAGTCATTCCCACCAAAATGTTTGATGCCTTGGTCTACCAGCGCAGAGACACGTGAACGTGGAGCGGAGGAGAAACTTGCTTGTGAATGTTGTGTCTTCCCGGAACATACACAGTTGACAACCAGTGTTGCAGGTTTCTGAGGTGGAGGCGAGCGTGGGGAACGACAAACGTGGCTGCAGCCATGTAGCCCAGGAGACGCACACAGGCATGTACTGAGACTACTGGGCCCTTGCCGAGTAGACTGACCAAGTCCTTTATTGCCTGGAATCTGTCCTTCGGTAGATAGGCTCTTGCCATCCTTGAGTCGAGAACTGCCCCTATGAACTGTATGTTCTGCATTGGAATGAGGGTCGATTTTGACTCGTTTACAATCAGTCCAAGAGAGTCGAACACTCGTCTGACCATTGTGACCATGAGGGACGTTTCTTCCTGAGATGTACCTTTTATCAAACAGTCATCCAGATAAGGGAATATGATGACTCGCAGTCGCCGGAGGTGCGCAGCAATGACGGCGAGGGTCTTTGAAAATACCCGTGGAGCAGAAGCCAGTCCGAATGGGAGGACACGATATTGGAAATGCTCGTCCTTTATGACAAAATGCAGGAATCATCTGTGTGCAGGATGTATTGCTATATGAAAATACGCATCCAATCGTTGTTGTCCAGAGCTGGGATGATCATAGTGAGCGTCACCATTTTGAATTGCTGTTTTCGAAGGTAGCGATTCAACTGGCGCAGATCCAGAATAGGTCTCCATCCCCCCGTTTTCCTTTGCGTTAGGAAATAACACGAATAGAACTCTTTTCCTTTGAAGCCCACTTGGACCTTCTCTATCACTCCGATGGATACTAGGTGATAAGCCTCTTGTTGCAGAAGATCCTCGTGAGATGGGTCCCTGAAAAGGGATGGGGATGGTGGGGTGGTAGGAGGGAGGGATGTGAATGGGATGGTGAGACCAGATCTTATCACCTCCAATACCCATTTGTCTGATGTTACAGCAGCCCATTGATGGTAATAGGGTTGCAGTCTGTGTGAAAAACGGGCTTGGTATCTCTGGCAACGACTGGAATGTTCAGCGCGCCCTTGACATGGAAGTCAAACCTGCTGTTTGGGTGTCCCGGCATAGTTCACTCTAGCTGGGTGAGGACGTCTGCGCTGTGGCCTCTGCTTAGAATGACCTTTATCATAAGGACGGTTTTGCTGTCTCCGGAATTGATAGTCATAACGTTTTTGGAATGGAAAATATTGTCTGCGGCGGAAAGGTGGCCCGTACATTCCGAGAGTACGTAAGGTTGTTCGCGAGTCCTTCCCTGTATGGAGTACGTCATCCGTTTTTTCTGCGAAGAGCTTAATCCTATCTAATGGGACATCTTCCACCTTGGATTGTAGCTCTCTGGGTACCTTGGCCATTGTTAGCCATGAGGCCCTTCGCATGGATACTGCCATAGCTACTGTTCGCGCCGCTGTGTCAGCCATGTCACTGGCAATCTGCAGACCTGCTCTGGCACTCGCATAGCCCTCTTGAATTATCTCACGGAGGAGAACCCTATCGGTCTCGGAGATTCGTTGTGCAATTTCCGTCAATGTTATAGAAGCTATGATTGGACAAGAGCGCCACATAATTCGCAATACGCAGGATAAGCGTGGATGAAGAATACACCTTCCGTCCAAAAATGTCTAGCTTTTTTGCATCCTTGTCAGCTGCTGAATTGCTGACCTGTGGGCTCTTTGCTCTCTGCAAGGCTGCCTCCACCACCAGTGAATTGGGCTGGGGGTGCGTGAACAGGAACTCTGCCTCTTTCGCTGCTATGAAATATCTTTTCTCAGCCCTT